CAGCCCGTTCCCCAGAGACAGCTGCAACTTGTAAGCAAGTACTTCGAATTCACTTATGTGTTTCTGGGCACTGACATCCGCTGGAGAGCCTACTTGAGGGGAAGGAGGCCCAGGGCCCAAGCTGAAGCCCACAGTGCATGTCTACAGTGCCGAATGAACTGAGTGGCTGGGCGGTACCACTGAGGTAGAGATCTCTTCCCGACAGCGAGGGGGCGGGGGGCTTTCCTCAGGCTCCGAGTGACACTACTCAGTGCTCTCCTTAGCCGAGTAGAGAGGGAATAGAGAAAGGAATACTGCGTCACATTCCTGCAGGAACCCTTATGGTTCTATAGTGGGAGATGAATAATGTCAATTTAGCAGCCACTTGCAAAAGTAATTACCAGAGGAGAGAAGGAAGAACATTCTGCTACTAAAGGCTGTGAAAACGAATGAATTCAAGAAACACCCATCGAACAAGTGAGTGTCCAGCAAGCACTGAAAGTGCACACCTGGAGGGATACAGATGATGAAGACATGCTCCTGGGCACCTGGGGGTGTTAGGGGAAAGAAATGGGGTACAGTAGACACAAGTCCCCCAATCCCAATTTTGCCATATTATACAGCTAGTGATAAGACAGAAAGCGAGTTCCGTATGAGGTGAATGCAGAAAGCATGCCCTATGGACTTGACTGAGACTTCGGAGGCAAGACTGGTCTTGAGATGATTTGAAGAAAGAGTTTGGCAAGTCAGGAAACGGCAAGATATTTGGATTCTGGGCAGAGGACACTGCAGGTGCCCAGAGGCATGACTGGAAATTGGCATCTGGTGGGGTGGGGAAAGGTTCAGGGTTGTGGGAAAGGGCCTGTGGGCTCAGACAGCAGGATCTTGAAAGCCGAGTTCAAGAGTTGAGGTTTTACAGACAAGAGAATGGGAGGCGCCGGGAGTCTTTTTGAGTTGGGGAGTGATTGCATTTTAAGCACAGATGCCATGTTGGGACTGTGGGAGCACTTGAAACAGTTGAGAGGAGATCCACGAACCTGACCTACGCCAGCTGCAGAGGGGAGAGCAAATGGGGGTTCCCTGGGTACTCCTTCAGACATCTTCTAGCCTCTCTCACTGAGATGTATCACATTCTTAACCCCTTTCTGAGGAAGCCCCTTTGTAGTACACGAAGGAAGGACACTTACTCCAATCTTGAGACAGTCTTGGGAATTTATTACAGCTGAGTTAGGAAAGTGTATTTCAGGCCAACCAGAGCATGTGTGGACTGGTTCCTCGGCAGTCACTTCGGCTTGCCAAGTAAGTTCATCCCTTTCTAGAATGTTGTCTAGGTTTCTGCCAAAAGGTCAATGGATTTTTCTTATTCCCCTCCAGCTCCCCGGCTGTTCAGGGTACATCTGTAAGCCATAAGGACGGACGCTGATTTCATCCATTGCTTTGACTTTTTTTAATCTCTTGCCTTCCACCTGAGAAAATAAACACTCATCTATAGGTTCTTCTAGTGTATTAGATATTTATTTATACAACTTTGTAACTGAAGATGAATCCAGCTGGGAATGTTTGGAATTTGGACTAAAGAAGATGACTGGGATTATTTCCTTTTCTGTTTTTCTTTAGTTTGGAAAAAGTCCAGTGGGTGAAGGGAGACATCGGTCAGCGTGAAACATGAAAAGTAATAGTAATTTATAAAT